CCTACGTATCCCGAAAGAATCAAAGCCCACGTAGTTCTTAGCGTACCTGATTTAGACTTTTCTAGCCACCCATGTTTGTTGCATCATCATCCCCGGAAGCTGCATCATCCGTTGACGACTCCAATATCATCACAGGATCATCTTCATCGTCTTCGTCTTCCTTTAAACCTTGAGTTCTTCTTTCAGCTTGATCCCAATCTTTCTTACAAACACAAATTTGAATGCTTTCCGGAGTTAAGCGAGATCTTTTTTCATCTAACACTCTTCTACCTGCACTAAAAGCAGACTCGGAAGCAACAGATGAAGCAGGAACTGCAAGTATATCTTTTGCAATTCTCGCCAATATAGGAAAACTTTTTTTATGTTCTTGCCACCATTTTATAATTTGAAAGTTGTTGTTGGTCTCATGTTGATATGACAAATAATCATTAATAGCAAGTGTTGAAGAAGATGATGATGAGAATGATGTAGATGCTTTGTGTTTTTTTTTCATAACTTTATCAAGAAAACCAAATCTAGAATCGGAAGTGCTAGTAGTAGTTGGTGTTGCCAAATCAAAACCATAAATAGATGCATAATGATCATAAAGGTCTCCCAAAACAGATTTGCATTTGTTAATATATTCACTAACATCATAATCGATACTTAAACTTGTATAATAAAATTCTAAAAGATTTTCCAAACCTTCAGCTTTGACACCGGGGTCAAGAATAGCAGCAATTCCATAAATGATTGGAAATTCACTAAAATAAGTATGCCACTTACGTTTCATGCTATCAAGAACGGGACGAAGTCCATCAATCTTCATATGCTCTTCGATGGTGTGAACAACTTTAACACACTCAATTATGACTAAATGAACGTTAGGCTCATAAATATAAGAGAAAATATGAGTTGCACTATCAAAAGCATTTAAAACATCACGAACAAAAGAAGCATTAGTCCAATGACTTTCGGTTATTAACTCAGTAGGATCAACACGAGTCTCATTGTAAAGTTGGGTCAAAATATCACGATACTTTATAGCATCACTCAACAACTTGAAAGTAGAATTCCAACGGGTAGGGGTATCAATAGACCATTGTCTTTTCTTAAGACCTCTCTCTTTACACATAGCTATGTACTTTCTTCTAACTGACTGAGTAATCCTAATCCATTTTATAACTGTTCTAATTGGGTTTAGCAATGGTTGCAACTCAGCGAGACCCTCTTGAACAGACAAATTCAAAATATGAGCACAACATCTAACATGCAAGAGACTACCACCCAACAACAAATTCAACTCGGAGTCATTTTTCAAATAGTCAATACACTTTGTGTTTGCAGTTGCATTATCAAGAGACAAAGAAAAAACTTTATTATTCAAGTGAAATTCTTTTAAACAATCCAAAATACGAACTTTGATGTTAAAACCGGTATGCCTTTCTTCCATAGCTTGAAAACATAGTATACGTTTTTGAATAAACCAATCATCATCCACCCAATGAGCAGTAATGCAAAGAAAAGGTTCGCCAAAACTAGAAGTCCATGTATCACTTGTAAAACTAACACGACCATCAAAAGTACGAAATAATTCAATCAAACCACTCCTATACTTATAATAAGAAGTTTGTGTATAACGTCTTAGGGTATTTCGGGGGACACGAGTAAATGCAGGTTGTAATGCAACTTTATTAAAATGCTCAACGTTTGCATTTTCACCGTAACTAAAAGGGTATTCATTAGCAATAACTAAAGTACTCATTTCATCAATCATTCTATCTTTATTATAAATGAAAGGTGTACCTCCGCCGGGTTGGTTCATGTATCCACCCAATTGTGTTTGGACGCCACCCCCCGAAGGACGGGGGCCATTTTCGAACAAGTCGTGTTTATTTTGCAAATGCCGACTCAAGGTTCCGGTTCCATCTCCCGTTTTCCAATTATATGACTTGACATTTGCACCTAGCGCCTTGCAAACTAGGCATGTACACGTGAACCTCTTTGGTTGACCAGGTTGCCATCCCGGGGGTGTGACCTCAACTCGTTCAAAATGTTTCCACACCCAAGAAAAATGTGCTCGACCTCTACTTTCACCGCCACCACCTTTCATAAATCAAATTATTAAAATTAATTTTTAAATGCTATTCATGAAAATAAGCTTTTAAATTTTAAATATTTTAATTATACTTATTTAAACGCATTTTTCATGGTAATTAACTAATTGTAAATCATAGAAAATTGGAAACTAAACTAACTTTATAATCATTAATAATAGTTTTTTTAAATATTCATAACAATAAAAATTTAATTAGAAATTACCTTGAGATGAAGGTTGAGATGTTGGTTGCGATGGAGGTGGCATAGTTGAACTTGATGATTGGTGGGACTCGTGGGAGAAATGTTGTGGTGGAGACGTTTGAATATTTTGCCTATCTCCTAAACCATAATCTCCATATTCATTGACAAATTGGTTTAAATTTTCCGTATTAATTTCATACGAAAAATTTGCACCACCACTCCTTTGGCTACCACTTCGACCACCACTTTGACTCCTTCCCATTCCTCCTCTTGAGCTCAATTTTTTTTTTGTATGATTACTAATTATAATATGGAGAAGAACTTTTTTTTTTTAGAATCTTAAGAATACTAATAATAATATTAAGGAGATTTTTTTTAACAAAAATATAACTCTATATAACACTTGAGAATTTGAGAACAATAAGAATTTTTAAGTAAGAGAGAAAGAAAGCTTGAATTTGTGTGGAAATTTGAGTGAAATGGAATTGGTATTTATAGGAAAAATAGAATGGATGATCATACACTTAAAAAACTAGCCGTTAGATACAAAAAACTAGCCGTTAGATACAAAAAACTAGCCGTTTTTTTTTTAAAATGGATGTTAGGCCGTGCGGGCCGTGCGGGTCGTGCGAATTGTGCGGGCCGTGCGGGTTGTGCGGGCCGTGCGGGTTGTGCCGGCCGTGCGGGTTGGGTGGGTCATGCGTGCGGGTTGGGTGGGTCATGCGTGCGGGTTAGGTGGGTTGGCTCGTGCGGGTTGGGTGGGTCATTCGTGCGGGTGGGCCGTGCGGGCTGGGTTGTGCCAGGTGGGTCGGGTTAGGTGGGTTCACGGGCTAGGTGTGTCGAATTAAATGAGTCAAAACGGGTTGTGCGATTTGGGTCGAATCAAACGGGTTAAACTGAGCTGGGTTGAAATGGGTTGTGTCGAAAATTTTGGACCCACGACACAACCCGGATTAAATCCGAGCTGTGCCGGTCTGTGCCGGATTGAAACCGGGTCGGACCCACGTGACCCACCAGCCGTGCGAGTTAGGGTGGGCTGGGTCCAACCCGGCCCACTGGCCACCTCTAGTGGTGGCAACGTGCTGCCTACAAACCAAGCAACATGCTGGATCACCCTATACAACAACAAAAAATAAATTGTTGGATCAGTTAACCAAATAAATGCCAAACACAATAAATATTTGGTAGATGAAAACTTACTGTCTGCTCCCAAACGTCACGGCTCCGATGGGTATCCTGAAGTGTCAGCACTGAAAGGTAAGCTGGTCTTGGGTCATGTCGTGTCTGCCCCTGATCCTGTCCCTCCATGATCTCTGTTCAGCGTACAATGTAAAACAAAAAGTCAGCTACATCCTACTTGAACACATACACACAACATGGTATTAAAATAATACATAAACTAACACCACTACCGGTCACCGTCCGTTTGAAAAGGGCAAGATCTCTTATTGTGTCCTTCCTGACGGCAACGACTACATTTGCTTGGTGGACGATTAGTCTCATCCATTTCATTTTGTATACGCTTCGACTTTGGACGACCATGTCCTCGGACCATGCTCTCATCAGGAATGATTTTAGGCCCTCTGTATGACCTCCACGTCGTCTCACAAGGAATAGGCCAGAACTATGGGGCATAAGTATTTGCATACGCCTCTGATCGTAGGAAACTGTCCACCCATGGTTCCTCAGAAACTGAATACTTAAGACACACGTCTAGAACATGAGAATATGGTAGGTGAAATATCATCGGTTTGTTGCATGTACATGTTCTCAAATTAAAGTTAACAGTATGCTTATGACCCCCTTTTCTCCCTATCCTTTCTCCTCGGTGTGTTTTTACTTGGTATATAACAAGCTGACGGCTATAAACATCCATTGTATGGTATTTTTCCTTTCTATTATTCTTCTCCAAAATGGCGGTGACCTTAGGTGAGTATGCATATCCGTCAGCATTCCTAGCAAGTGAACTATCTCTGCTTCTGTTAAAGTACTTGTTAACTCTGTGGAAAGTTAACTCGACAAGGGACATGATCGGTAGAAAACGTGCTCCCTTCAACACATTGTTAAAAGTTTCTGAGAAATTTTTAGTAATATACCATGCCTCCAACCAGCGTCATGAAACAAGGACCATCTGTGAAACGGCACATCCGTAATGTACTCTAGGGACTTAACAGAAGCTTCACCGATAGAACGCATATCTTCAACCAATTTTTTTCTTGGCGTTGGTATGCAGCAGCCTTGAACTTGTCTCTCATGTTGTTGTTTTTCACGTGGGTCCCCAAGTTAGAGGCCATGTGTCGAACGCAAAACCTGTGAAAGGCCTGTGGCTCATGAAATCCAACATCCGGGTTAGTCATTGCAGCAGTAATCCCTGCATGTCGGTCAAATATAACACATAGGCCCTCTCGATCAGTAACATGAACCCGAATGCAGCTTAGAAACCAGGACCAACTCGAGGTGTTTTCCCCTTCAACTATTGCAAATGCTAGAGGAAATACCTGAAAATTAGCATCAACACTTGTAGCAACCAAAAGTGTGCCTTTATATTTCCCATACAAGTGTGTCCCATCAATAAACAACACGGGCATGCAGTGTTTGAACGCATCGATGCAAGGCTTAAAGGCTCAAAACACTCGTTTAAATACCTCCATGTTGCTGTAATAAACGCCTTCAACAATAGCTTTGTATTTCCACAGAACTACAGTGTCTGGGTTCGACTCCTAGAGGGCTTGCATGAATGAAGGAAGTCTGCTGTACGAACTCTCCCAATCCCCAAAAATTTCCGCAATCGCTTTCTGTTTGGCATACCACGCTCTTCGATATGGAACATCGAATTGAAATTTGTTGGAGATGATGTGTTGTATGAACTCAACTCTCAAACATGGATCTTTCTGCACAAACGATTTCACATAGTCACAGATAACAGAGGAGTCCAAGTGTCGGTGATCTCTAGGCGAAACTTCATTCACACAATTGTCGCGATGTGGGCCCTTATAAGATACGATCTTAAAGGCATGTGTGGTTAGATTTGTTTTTGTACCACGTAGCGACCAACCACACCCCCTCTTGCATTTTAAATGAAGGAGATTCTCATTCGACGTCACTGTGGTGTAGAAATGATTTCGTTCTATGGAATACAATTTCACCATTTCCTGCAGCGCTTTCTTATTGTCGAAAATCATGCCCTTCTCAAATTCTCCCCCGACACGAAACGAACACTGGCTCCCCGAATCACCCCAATGTATGTCCACCTCATAGTTCTCGTTTATTTGACTGAACCAAGGTAATGGAGTTCTAGCAACAACATCATCCACAGACAAATTGTTGTTTATAACATCTTCTTCATCTCCGTCTTCACCCTCGTCGTTTGTGTCATTATACATATCAAGAACAGACAACTCGTTGTTTATAACAAGTTCAGCATTCACCAAAGTTTGAAACGGTGGTGTTTGAACATGTTCTTGCGTGGGAGAGTAACTTTGCAACTGCATCGATGATGAAATGTCATTGTTTGAGGTAGATGGATCAGGTTGCTGCATTGACCCCAACGCCGTAAATTGTGAACTGAATGGAATGTCAAATTGATCGTCGTGTAACATTCTACTGAAAGAACCCATTCCATATTTAGATGATGGAATGTTATATGCGGGCATTTGTAGAGAGCTTGCATTGTATGATGGAAGAAATGTTGGTTGTTGAGTACATACAGGCACCGTTTCCACATACAAATCAGTAGGAAGAGACCTATTGCAACGACACCCCTCAAAACCTCCAAATGGTCGTCATTCAAAACAGGTAAGATTTGAATCCCGCTAACACTTTCAAACCTCATTTTGATGTTCAGTTCAACACTTGTTGGGTTTGAACCAATTATAGTATAAACTTTCTTCAACAAATCATTGTAAGTCATACAAGGTTTCAATGCCAGCGGTTCCATTTTTCCTCCTCTATACTCGACATTGGGTCCGACACACAAAATTTCACCCCCCCCAACGGCATAACAACACAATCAATTATGAAGCCATGTTCTACATAACAATCGGACCACATATTAGGTGACACATATGCACAACTAAAACCACAATGATTCTATTAAATCCCCAAGCAAAGCGTATATACAACGTAGTGTTCAACAACGTACTAACTTACCTACTTAATCAACAATGTAAGATACATTTAAATGTACTTAACTCAACAATGTAGTTCGTAATTCCCAAAATGCTTCATATATGTAGTTCAACAACTAAATGCTTCATATAAATTATACAACATACATATAACTATACTTAATTTCAATAATTAAACAAAAATGTATTATTTAGTTATACATATTTCGCATACTTGAACAACACTATAGTACATACATTGTAAATTACAAACATAAATTCCCAAAAACATCATACACAAGTAAAATAGTTAAATTCAAGACATACCTCAATTTCGATGAAAGTAGGGCGTAACAGTGTTGAACAAGGAGGATTAATTTTTATTGACTATGATGCAAAACTAAGCTATGGAATGTGATGAAATTGCTTCAAATATGGAGAATTGGAATTTGCTATGCGCGGGGTTAGGGTTTGCAATTTGGGGGTTTGGTTGAATAATGAAGAACAGCGAAATATGCTGCTGAAATACCCGACCTTAAAACGCCAACGACGTTAGCGCTTTTGTGTAAAAGATAAAACGCCAACGGCGTTAGCGTTTTTGTGTAAATGTGTTTTTTTTTTTTAAATTTCCCTATAAATAAAACGCCACCCTTGATGGCGTTTTTTCCTTGACTAAAAATTAAAAAGAAAAAAAAAATGCCCAGGGTAAAAACGTCATCCTGGTTGGCGTTTTACCCTGTAAGCTTAGTTTGGTAAATAGTTTTGCCACGCGTCTAGTTTGAAATTGTTTCCCAAAAACGCTTAGTTTGGCAATTTTTCCTTGTTCTAGCTATTACTTAAGTGTATATGTTCATTACACCTAAACTATAGTTGATGTTGTTGAGTTCAATTTCGCCTAGTTTAAACAAATGGGCCCACTTAGCCAGTGGATCGGGTCCAATGGCCACCCCTAGCTAGAGGTGGCCAGTGGGCCGGGTTGGACCCAGCCCACCCTAACTCGCACGGCTGGTGGGTCACGTGGGTCCGACCCGGTTTCAATCCGGCACAGCCCGGCACAGCTCGGATTTAATCCGGGTTGTGTCGTGGGTCCAAAATTTTCGACACAACCTATTTCAACCCAGCTCAGTTTAACCCGTTTGATTCGACCCAAATCGCACAACCCGTTTTGACTCATTTAATTCGACACACCTAGCCCGTGAACCCACCTAACCCGACCCACCTGGCACAACCCAGCCCGCACGGCCCACCCGCACGAATGACCCACCCAACCCGCACGAGCCAACCCACCTAACCCGCACGCATGCACCCAACCCGCACGCATGACCCACCCAACCCGCACGGCCGGCACAACCCGCACGGCCCGCACAACCCGCACGGCCCGCACAGCCCGCACAATTCGCACGACCCGCACGGCCTAACATCCATTTTTAAAAAAAAAAACGGCTAGTTTTTTGTATCTAACGACTAGTTTTTTGTATCTAACGGCTAGTTTTTTAAGTGTATGATCATCCATTCTATTTTTCCTATAAATACCAATTCCATTTCACTCAAATTTCCACACAAATTCAAGCTTTCTTTCTCTCTTACTTAAAAATTCTTATTGTTCTCAAATTCTCAAGTGTTATATAGAGTTATATTTTTGTTAAAAAAAATCTCCTTAATATTATTATTAGTATTCTTAAGATTCTAAAAAAAAAAAAGTTCTTCTCCATATTATAATTAGTAATCATACAAAAAAAAAATGAGCTCAAGAGGAGGAATGGGAAGGAGTCAAAGTGGTGGTCGAAGTGGTAGCCAAAGGAGTGGTGGTGCAAATTTTTCGTATGAAATTAATACGGAAAATTTAAACCAATTTGTCAATGAATATGGAGATTATGGTTTAGGAGATAGGCAAAATATTCAAACGTCTCCACCACAACATTTCTCCCACGAGTCCCACCAATCATCAAGTTCAACTATGCCACCTCCATCGCAACCAACATCTCAACCTTCATCTCAAGGTAATTTCTAATTAAATTTTTATTGTTATGAATATTTAAAAAAACTATTATTAATGATTATAAAGTTAGTTTAGTTTCCAATTTTCTATGATTTACAATTAGTTAATTACCATGAAAAATGCGTTTAAATAAGTATAATTAAAATATTTAAAATTTAAAAGCTTATTTTCATGAATAGCATTTAAAAATTAATTTTAATAATTTGATTTATGAAAGGTGGTGGCGGTGAAAGTAGAGGTCGAGCACATTTTTCTTGGGTGTGGAAACATTTTGAACGAGTTGAGGTCACACCCCCGGGATGGCAACCTGGTCAACCAAAGAGGTTCACGTGTACATGCCTAGTTTGCAAGGCGCTAGGTGCAAATGTCAAGTCATATAATTGGAAAACGGGAGATGGAACCGGAACCTTGAGTCGGCATTTGCAAAATAAACACGACTTGTTCGAAAATGGCCCCCGTCCTTCGGGGGGTGGCGTCCAAACACAATTGGGTGGATACATGAACCAACCCGGCGGAGGTACACCTTTCATTTATAATAAAGATAGAATGATTGATGAAATGAGTACTTTAGTTATTGCTAATGAATACCCTTTTAGTTACGGTGAAAATGCAAACGTTGAGCATTTTAATAAAGTTGCATTACAACCTGCATTTACTCGTGTCCCCCGAAATACCCTAAGACGTTATACACAAACTTCTTATTATAAGTATAGGAGTGGTTTGATTGAATTATTTCGTACTTTTGATGGTCGTGTTAGTTTTACAAGTGATACATGGACTTCTAGTTTTGGCGAACCTTTTCTTTGCATTACTGCTCATTGGGTGGATGATGATTGGTTTATTCAAAAACGTATACTATGTTTTCAAGCTATGGAAGAAAGGCATACCGGTTTTAACATCAAAATTCGTATTTTGGATTGTTTAAAAGAATTTCACTTGAATAATAAAGTTTTTTCTTTGTCTCTTGATAATGCAACTGCAAACACAAAGTGTATTGACTATTTGAAAAATGACTCCGAGTTGAATTTGTTGTTGGGTGGTAGTCTCTTGCATGTTAGATGTTGTGCTCATATTTTGAATTTGTCTGTTCAAGAGGGTCTCGCTGAGTTGCAACCATTGCTAAACCCAATTAGAACAGTTATAAAATGGATTAGGATTACTCAGTCAGTTAGAAGAAAGTACATAGCTATGTGTAAAGAGAGAGGTCTTAAGAAAAGACAATGGTCTATTGATACCCCTACCCGTTGGAATTCTACTTTCAAGTTGTTGAGTGATGCTATAAAGTATCGTGATATTTTGACCCAACTTTACAATGAGACTCGTGTTGATCCTACTGAGTTAATAACCGAAAGTCATTGGACTAATGCTTCTTTTGTTCGTGATGTTTTAAATGCTTTTGATAGTGCAACTCATATTTTCTCTTATATTTATGAGCCTAACGTTCATTTAGTCATAATTGAGTGTGTTAAAGTTGTTCACACCATCGAAGAGCATATGAAGATTGATGGACTTCGTCCCGTTCTTGATAGCATGAAACGTAAGTGGCATACTTATTTTAGTGAATTTCCAATCATTTATGGAATTGCTGCTATTCTTGACCCCGGTGTCAAAGCTGAAGGTTTGGAAAATCTTTTAGAATTTTATTATACAAGTTTAAGTATCGATTATGATGTTAGTGAATATATTAACAAATGCAAATCTGTTTTGGGAGACCTTTATGATCATTATGCATCTATTTATGGTTTTGATTTGGCAACACCAACTACTACTAGCACTTCCGATTCTAGATTTGGTTTTCTTGATAAAGTTATGAAAAAAAAACACAAAGCATCTACATCATTCTCATCATCATCTTCTTCAACACTTGCTATTAATGATTATTTGTCATATCAACATGAGACCAACAACAACTTTCAAATTATAAAATGGTGGCAAGAACATAAAAAAAGTTTTCCTATATTGGCGAGAATTGCAAAAGATATACTTGCAGTTCCTGCTTCATCTGTTGCTTCCGAGTCTGCTTTTAGTGCAGGTAGAAGAGTGTTAGATGAAAAAAGATCTCGCTTAACTCCGGAAAGCATTCAAATTTGTGTTTGTAAGAAAGATTGGGATCAAGCTGAAAGAAGAACTCAAGGTTTAAAGGAAGACGAAGACGATGAAGATGATCCTGTGATGATATTGGAGTCGTCAACGGATGATGCAGCTTCCGGGGATGATGATGCAACAAACATGGGTGGCTAGAAAAGTCTAAATCAGGTACGCTAAGAACTACGTGGGCTTTGATTCTTTCGGGATACGTAGGCAACTTATTTTTCGAAAATTACAATTTAATTGCAAAATTAAATTTTAGTTTTCTAAAGATAGGTCCAAGCCCCCCCCCCCAAATTTCAAAAGAAGTACAATATAAGAACTACGCTGGCTTTGATTCCTTATTTTATAATATAAGGATACATAGGCATCTTAATTAAGAGCAAGCCATCAAATTGTTAATTTTGTAAAAATTAAAACACCACACAACCCACCCGACCCTAACCCACGAACCCACCCGACCCTAACCCACAAACCCACCCGACCCTAATCCACCTAACCCACAAACCCACCCGACCCTAACCCACTAACCCACCCGACCCTAACCCACCTAACCCACAAACCCACCCGACCCTAACCCACTAACCCACCCTTCGACCCACCCTAACTCACTAACCCACCTTGACCCGTCTAACCCACGAACCTAGCTCGACCCACCCATGACCCGTCTAACCCACAAACCCAGCTCGACCCACCCACGATCCGTCTAACCCACAAACCCAGCTCGACCCACCCACGACTCGTCTAACCCACGAACCTAACCCTGGTGTGTCCAACTTCTCCGACCCAACCCACGACCCGGCCCACCCTACCCTACGTGTGTCGTGCCGTGTGTCATGAAACCCCAACCCGCGACCCACCTAACCCTAACCCAGCTCGCACGACTCGCACGGTGGACACCTCTACCCCTAGCAATCTAACATTAACTCTATATCACTTGATTGACTTCCAAAGTTCCAACTCACATTCCGGATAAGCTTTTACTCAATTTTATATTTCTTGACAAAACGCCTATAATTAAAGCACACAAAAATCTCCATTGATATTCCAAAGTCCTCATTTTGCATCCCCTTTTAACCAGTAAATGAAGCATTTTACATGCTTTACTCAGTCAGTCAACCTTAAAACTATGATAACCCATTAACACCTACCTTTCAAACAAGATAAAAAATCTAAACCCCATTTCAAAAATTTCTAGTATGTCTGTTTTAGCTCCAAATTCTCAAATATTTTACCGATTTTCACACCCAAAAGATCAATTTCCACAAAAATGGAGTAATGGGTGGTGTTTATTTCTTGTAAAAAATTCTGGGTTTGGATTAAAAGACCAAAAAAACGGCATAGATGGTAGAAATTTGAAGAAAAGAGAGATTATGGCGCATGCTGCTTGGCCAGATTTGTCGAGACCTACTACTGTTGAAATGGAATCCATCAAAGATTGTGATCAGCTTGACCAGATTTTACAGCAAGCTAAGGATAATTCTCAACCCGTTATCATTGATTGGTTTGTCATTTTCCACTCTCAAATAAATTTATTAGAAATTTTTTGGAGATTTATGTTTTGTTTTATTGCATTATTTCAATTTATTTTTCTATTTGAATATGGGATTTGGAGTAGTTTATATTAAAAAAAATTACTTGTAGCATACTTTATGCAGTTTTTTTGGGTTTTTGATTAATTTTTTGTTGGATGGTAGGATGGCTAATTGGTGCAGGAAATGCATTTATCTCAAGCCTAAACTGGAAAAAATGGCTGCTGAATATGATACCAAGTAAGAATTTCTATTTTACTCAGAAGAAGTTTAGATTTCTCTATTTGATACGTTAAAATCCCGCTTAAGTTTCGTGCTAAACAGTGTGTATTTGGAAGGTTGCATACATGATATGAATACATTTTTGGATGGTTTTGTCTGCTTGAGGTAGAATCGACAATTAGTGGTGTTTTGCTGTCCTACTTGCTATCTAAGCCTATTTGTTGGTCATGCACTCCTGCAATTTCGTAGTCGTGCACACTTAATTATATTTGTGCTTTATCATACCTCGTAATTAAGAGTGTTTCTGTAACTGATTGTGTTTCTAGACTTTGTTAAATTGACATACACCTACAATTTCTTGTACATAATAGATTGTTATTTATAGCAGATAACTTCATGTCTGTATGGTGGGGGCAGCAGTAGGACGCCTATGCTCATTAAAGGCTGTAATAATATTTATAGAATAACATGATTTAAGCATTGCTTATGAGTGTGGTGCTACATCTGCCTTAACTGGAATGCCTACTTAAGCTGTTTTGCTGGCTCCATGGATACTCATTGTGTGACATTTCTTGCACAATCAACTCCCCGATATCAAATTTTATTCATCTTACCCCCCAGGTTTGCCCATATGAGTAAGGTTTGCCATTACTGTGAGAGTAGGATATTGGATAAATAATAGAATCTGTCGTATAGTCCTGCTATGTATTAGTAATAAACTTGTATCTATATCTAAGAATTGAGCTTGCAACTTATTCTCGCTCAGAGAAAGCAGTATCTAGGCCTCTGAATTTCATTAATATTATGGAACACAGTCAAAGAAAAACAACATGATGGAACTAATGTAATGCTAATTGGATTTTGGTGTTTATGAGGATAGCTTGTTCGTTTCATTTGAGCCAACATCCTTCTGTATCAGATGGAAAATAGAAACACCATGATGGAAAATCTTCTTTGGCTGTGAGCTGTATCATATTGTCTATCGTCTAATCATTCTTCTGCTGTGTATCTTTGACTCTTGCAGTTTTAACTCTAGAAAACTGAATTAGGGATCCTTTAAAGATGCAGCAAAGCATTCATATAAATTTTAAAAAGTTTATGTAATCAACAATCCTTGTTGATCATAGATCACCATTGTTCATTTTTAGGCTAAAGCCCCTGAACCTTTTATTTTGCCCTAAGTCGACACTCATATTTGTAGTTTGGCAACTACTTGAATTTCTGATTCTTAAAGGATAAAGATCTCATCTGTCAAAACTCTTCTTTGAGAGTTTTGCTTGTCATCTGCATCTACGCTTCAAAAACTCAAATTTTCCATTTGTATGTGCCTTAGTTAAACAATGTGTAAGTTGATAATGTATCGACAGTTGACTTACTTGCTTCTATCTCATCTTCATCATCCCTGATAACTTATATTTCACTTTCATATGTTTGGTCCGACAAATAAAACAATTTCGTTACCATAATATTTGTTTTATTGTCCATTTGAATTTTAGTTATTTTTAGATTGTAATCCATAATACACTCTGCCTAAGTTTCTGATCAAGCAACTAATTTTCGCCTTTCCAAAATCCATGAATACTACAGGGAGTGTATCCTATGGACTGCATATCATATTATTGTTTGAACATGACTCTATAATCCGAAGTCACCTTGATATCTCAGAATTCTTTTTGATGTCCCCATTTGAACTGGAATTTAAGTCATACGTGAACCTCAAAGGCAAGCTTGCAACATGCATCAGATCAATTTTCAAATTCCTACCAAACTACCCATCAAGCTTCTGTGAAGTCCTGCATCAACCTTGGATATCTCTAACTGTAACAATTATTACATCAGTGATGTTGAGTATTCTATAACCTCATGATTGTAAGCTATAACTTAGTAAGATGACTTTCTCTGATGAGTCATCCAAGCTGCTCCTTTTTTGAGAAGGAATATGCACATAACAAATTGAGGGAACTAATCTAAGATGCTTGACAGGTGATGTTTGTCCACACCAAGCTTTAACAAGAATTTTCCCTGCACAATTTTGTCAGCAACAACTTATTGATCAAGTATATAGAAGTACATATGGCCTCATCCCAGAATTTCTAGGACTATTTCTTTTTAGTACTCATGCACCTACCCGGCTACCTGTCATGCACTCTTGCCCATTTCCTTTTTCTTTAAGGCATGTGGCCAATTGTAAGATGACATTCAAGGGCTTCAACAGTTCAACCTCTCAAAACGTTTTTGAAGTTTGATGAACCGTACTCTTTCAATAATTGGTTCTCTTCAATTTGCAACCACTTTGTTTCCAGCATTTTGATGAATCATGTGACTGTACAAGCACTGTCTATTAGCCACCTCCTTTTGCTTTTATAATATGCTATTGCATTGTCTTCATCATAAAATAAGTAATGCTTCATGTCTGCAATTGAATTGATTCAAGTGGCTAAAGTTATCTTGCTGATTTTGTTCGGCTTGCTTCACTCTGCAAAATTTCTCAATATGGGTAAACTTCTTGCAAAATACGCATTTAGTCTTTCTTTTGAAGTTTAAGTTCTTTTAAACAACAATCTTGCACCTAGTGTTGCTCTCCAAATGGTGCCTCATGGAAGAAGTCCATCTTATCCCTTCAAATCATCATCTGTTTCAGTATTTATATGCTCATTTTTTTTTCACCATTCTGATATGATGATTTTGAGTTGTGCCTTCTTACAAAATCTTGTGTTGAACCTTAATTGTCCTTGCTGAACTTAGCTTCATATGCGTGTAGGGAGCCATAAAAACTCAGTAACAAACTAACAGTATGCTTACTTAAGTCTCTTGGTTTTTTAGTAGAGTTAATTGTTTTGAGAAGGATTATCAACACACCCTATACAAAATTTTATCCACCATAAACTTGCAGTAATTTGTTTAACACATCCGTTGTGAGTCAGTAATTATTCATACTTTCATCTTCTTCCATTTGAATATTCTTAGGCTATCTCCTCAAGTTATTGAGTTTGATTTGTCTCACCATTTCGGTTCCTTAACCTACTCTTGGAAGATGCCCAACAATATTACATGTTCATCAAAAGATTACAAACACATATGTTATGCTTATATATTTTGAACTATATGAACTATCATACAGTAGGTTTATCTCTATAATTCTGTAAGGGTTAGCTTTCTTATACTATATGGCTTTATGCATATGTATGCTGTACTACTGTACTACCAAGATAGAAAATTGTAATTTTAATTTATTTCCTCTTATAATAAACACTCCATTGTCTCCATGTTTTCTTGAAGGGTCAAATTTTACTACGTGGATGTGAACAATGTGCCTCAAGCTCTTGTCAAGCGCGGAAATATTTCAGTGAGACAATTTCCTCTATAATCCATGCTTATTTCTACGGTCACATCCATTTTATTTCTCTCTGACTGTCCTTTAACCATCAATTCCCTATTTTGCATGTTCCATCAGAAAATGCCCACGATCCAGGTGAGTTTGATCAACTTATTCTCAGATTCCAGATAGTTTTGTAATACTGATTAAAGATTCTAAGATATTGAAATGCTAACCTCATTTTTGTTTGCAGCTATGGCTAGACGGAGAAATGAAAGCGGAAGTAATTGGTGGCCATAAAGCTTGGTTAGTTTTGGAAGAGGTGAAGGACATGATCCAGCAGTTCATATAAATCTGCAGACCTCTATCTTAATTACCACAATTTTTTTTTTTTTCAGTTTCTTCAACCTCTATAAATCTTCAGTTTTGTTGGTATATCACTATATTGTATAGAGTCAGTTGAAAGACTACATTTCTTTCCTTGTAAATCAAAAAACAACCAGCGTTATCTTTCTGATTTGCTAACTGTGTACTACTTTTTCAGTTATGCCCAAATTAAGTTCTTATAGTTTATATATCAGTCTATGTGAAGGACTCATTCTAGGCTTAACATGAAGTGAAAAAAGGTAAAGTAATAAAGAGGTGACAAACTTGCAGGGTGGATTGGTTTCGGACTAAGGCAAATTGATTCAAGTCATATTTGATGTCGGATTGGTCATGTATTGGTCTGTTGTCATTCGTTCTGGTAAATTATCCTAAACTCTGTATTAACTATTAGTCGTAACAATTTTTTGGTTTTGAATGAAACCAAGATAAAATTAGAGCAGATCTGCCTAGTTACAGAAAGTAGGTCAATCATATTACCTTTTCGGTGTTTACTATTTATATTTTTTCATTGACTTATTGAATAACTAAGTCGCTTTGGCCGAGTGGTTAAGGCGTGTGCCTGCTAAGTACATGGGGTTTCCCCGCGAGAGTTCGAATCTCTCAGGCGACGTTTTTTTTTTAATTTTAGTTGATTTTTGCATTCAACTAGTTAAGTAGTTACTTATGTCATGTTTAAATACGGAATATGTCTTTGAAATTTTGACGCAAAACATAATCTTTTACTCTTACAAATATTATTCATGAACGTAATATTTTACTTTTTTTTTTTTTTTTAATTTTTTGTATAGGGTCACAATTTAAAGTTTTAACCTGCGTCTTTTATTGAGCCTTAGTACATGCTTGTTTCGGAAATCATCAGTTGGTTGCTTAGATTTGTATGATCAATTTATAGTAATAGCTAAATCAGTGGCGGACCCAGGAATTTCCGACTGGTGGTTCACAATCGATAATCAAGTATGTAAAAAAAAAAAAATTTACCGAACAACCAAATAATAGTACTAAAAAATACATCCAAATATTCAAACAGTACAAAATACAACCAAATGTTCATATAATACTACAAAAGGCAACTAAATAGTAATGCAAACTTATTACAATAGTTCTCGACGAGTTTTCATGTTTTGATATCGATTCATGATATCTTCCATGCTAACATTCAAAAACAAATCATTCTCCAAATAAGTAATTAAACAATCATTCAACATTTGATCTCCCATGCTATTTCGTAGTTTGTCTTTCACTTGCTTCATGCCAGAAAATACCCTTTCCACACTTGCCGTTGCGACAGGAAGAAGCAACACCAACTTCAAAAGTAAATAGACTCTATCATGAGTTTCAGACAATCCCGTTTCAACCAATTTGATTGAAAGCTCACTAAGACCCTTCAAATTCCAAAACCTTTCATCTCCTCTAACAGAACAAATGTAACTCTCAAGTGTATGACCAAAGACTATCAATTCTGAACTTGGAAATTCATTAGGATAGAATTTCGCAAGCTTAATCAATTTTTCCTTGTCAAACTTAGAAAAACGATCCACAAGACTCAAACAAGACATACACACAAGTAGTTCTTTAGTTATTTCGGGAAATCGATTTTCAAGTTCTTGCAATTGAAGATCAATGACACCAAAAAAAACTTCAACTCGAAAATGATGTAAATTAGACACTTGTGGGCATTTACCTCGAAACAACCTCCTCCCGGGAACAACATATTTAGCCTCCATATCTGGAACTGCAATGTCATAGTCACCAATAAAAGAAATGACCTGTTCCATATGAGAATCCCATCCTTCATCTCTCATTTTTTGCAAATTAGTCTTGGTTACATTAACCATGACCATTGCATTCACAATGTCTTGATCGTGCTTTTGTAAGGCCACATTCAAAGCATTTGTTATCGCAAATATACTAACCATCAAGTGTGCCACAAACACAAAATCAAAGGACATCAGAAGATTTGTAAGTGTTTGAGCTCTATTAGAATCTATTGTATCAGATACTTTTGCAATATCCTCAAGAGAACCAAGGATTACAGGGAATAAATCAAGTACATTCAAGATTGTCTTGAAGTGAGATCCCCAACGAGTATCACAAGGTCTACCTAATCCACGTTCTTGATTTAAACCTGAACCCGTTTCAAGTTCACCTAGAGACAAAGCATCCACCACTCTTTGAGCTTGATTTTCACGAAGAAACTCTTTCCTTTTTGGTGAACCCCCCACAAAGTTCAACAGAGGTGCAAGTACATCAACAAATAACCAAGCACAATCTGAATTCTTTTTAGCAAGTGCAACTTGAGTCAATTGAAGTTGGTGAGCAAAGCAGTGGACAAAATAAGCTTCTTTACACTCATTCTCTATAAGAGTCCTAAGGCCATTAATAGAACCTTGCATATTACTTGCCCCATCATAACCCTGACCCCGTACTTGAGAGAAAGACAAAGAATGCTCCATTAATAAGGATTCAATAGCAGTTTTGAGAGTCAAAGAAGCAGTGTTTACAACATGCACAATACCAAGTAAACGCTCACACACTTCTCCCTTTCTATTAACATATCTCAAACAAAGAGCCAATTGTTCCTTGTCAGAAACATCAGCGGACTCATCAGCAAGGATAGAAAACAAACCACCATCAATATCTTCAAGCATTGCTTTAGTTGTCTCTTTTGCACATGCATTTATGATATCTTTTTGGACTTTTGGAGAAGTAAGTTGACAATTACTAGGAGCATTTTTTAAAACAACTTTAGAATATTCAGGGTTACCTTTGGAAATAAGGGATAAAAGTGAAAGAAAGTTACCTCTTCTTAAGGAACTTTCTTTTTCATCATGACCACGGAAAGGCAACCCTTGGAGTAAAAGCCATTGGATTGATTCAATTGAAGCTTCAAGTCGCTTCCTATATGCATTTGTACTCTCAGCGGTTTGTTTTGTCAAGGCTTGTGTGATGCTTGACTTTTGCTTCTTGACCAAATCCATAGCTAACACTGCATTATTATGTGCACTCATGTGCTTACCCACATGTTTTCTTATTAAATCCGATCGATTCCATGATTTGAAACCATCACTAACAAAAGCATTACCTCCAAATGCATTTTCATCCTTGAATAGATAACAAGGGAAACAATAGGCAGCATCCTTTTCCACACTATACTCAAGCCAAGTCCAAGTATCAAACCACTTAGCACAAAAGCGACGGTTTTTGCCAAAAATAGAAGTTTGAGGAAATATAAAGTCTTTGGGCTGACAAGGCTTTCTTTGAATGTAAATTCTTCTCACTAAATCTCTATCATCTTTATGAAATTGACTCATCTTTCTCCTCTTTCCTGGATCTTGTGGAAGATTATCAAATTCATGTTCACTTAATCTTTCACCAAAGATTGGGGCATTAGGAAAACATTGGCCTTGTTCATTTTGAGGGGAATTTTGAGTTGAATAATTAGATGGAGATGAATGTTGTTCACTTTCTTGAGGTGGAGATGTAGTTTGTTCACTTTGTTGAGGTGGAGATATAGTTTGTTCATTTTGTGTTGGATGTGGAAGAGAAGTTGAAGTAGGATTCTTTTTAGCAAAGAAGCTAGTAATGTTTTGCATTTCATTTTGAGTGCGTTTTCTCTTCATTCTGAAAATTGAATGAATAATCAACTAAATCAAACAATATTCCTCAGAAAAATTATTTACAAAGATCATTAGATCATCCAAATAGAAAATTGACAAGATTACAATCCTAACTAATAATTAACAAGCTTAAAATTGACAAGACTAAAATCAACAAACTAATATCTCCACTAATCTATACGACTATACGGAACTTCAAGCTGAATATGCGACTAGCACCACTAAGCACTAACCAATCCACACTGTAATCTAATTATAAATTTATAATCCTCCTTACACAGTTACACTAATAGTTAAATAGTCTAATTGCTGTCTTACACAATGTCCGGCAATACCGGCATCACATATTCACAATTTCAAATAACGACATAAACAGTAAAACAGATAAACTAATAAGTTCAATTTAACAGTCAAAACACAATTTACACAAATAATGCAAATTCAATGAACATTCACCGTATATACTAATTTTAAGAGACAAGTAATGCAAATTTGATCAAAAATTCACAAAAAAAAAAGAATAAATTGATGAACCTACCTTGCCGGACTGCCGTGCCGGAGGCGGCAGGCGCTGATTGAGGCGACTAGGCGAGCAGCGGAGCAGCCAGCAGCACAGCCCGCACATCGAAATAGCGAATTGGCTGAATCAAAGACAAGATTGCGAAGTTTAATAAAATTAACTAAATAGACTGAATTGAATTGAAGATTAGAAATTTTAAATAAAAATTACAAACTTACTCTTTGATGAAGAAGTGAAGAACTGGAGTGGAGAACTGGAGTTGGAGTCTTGGAGATGATTGATGAAGGATTGAAGGCCGAAGGGAAGAGGCGAATTGGCAAAAAGAAGAACTGAAGAAGGCTAGGGCTTGAACTGACTTCGTGATTTGGTCATTTGGGGAAAACTGATTTTAGTTTTTTTTTTTTTTTTTTTTTTTTTTTTTTAAAAAAAAAATAACTTAAAATTTTTTTTTGGGCCTGGTGAGTCACTTGACCCACCAGGTCTAAGCCCAAGTCCGCCACTGGCTAAATACAGAGTAATTTTTATTACTCCATTTTATAATTATGTTAACATTAAGAAGAGACCAACTTTAAAGAAATTCGCTATTCACATTTTTTTTTCCCCCGCGATTTGGCCGAATCAAAACAGGTAAAAATAAATGGTTCAAAAGAAGTCACAATAACGAAACTCTGTAAGTTTGCGGTTTGCCCAAGTAATCAACAACAAATTAAAAACATTAAAAAAGTCCTACCGGGAGTCAAACCCAGGTCGCAGGATGCAAAGTCCAGAGTGCTAACCACTACACCATGGAACCTTTGACATGTTGTATTGTTGTTAAGTATAATCTTAATAAGTCAATAAAATGCCAGAGGGCTTGCTAACGCAAACACAACTCAGGCAAGTACTATTTAAGTGTGCCACACTTTGACATTTTACACTATTTATCATTAGCTTTAAGTTGAATATTTGCTAATACTATCTCTATGGCTTTATGTCATAATTTTTTGCGACAAATGAGTTTGCACGACTTTTAGGCAAAATTTGTTTGTGAATGTTAAATGAAAAATAGT